TTTTTTTTTGTGACGGAGCCTCACTCTGTCTCCCAGGCTGGAGTGCAGTGGCATGATCTCGGCTCACTGCAACTTCCCCCTCCCAGGTTCAAGCCATTCTCCTGCCTCAACCTCTTGAGTGGCTGGGATTACAGGCGTGCGCCACCACTCCCACTAATTTTGTATTTTTAGTAGAGACGGGGTTTCACCATGTTGGTCAGGCTGGTCTCGAACACCTGAACTCGTTATCTGGCCCCGCCTCGGCCTCCCAAAGTGCTGGGATTACAGGCCGCTTTTCTCTTTTTCCTTTCCTTCCTTCTCCTGGCGCCCATGATGGTTAGATCAGGAGCAGCCATCTTGCATCAGGAGGTGGAAGCCATGGATTCAGGATGGTTGAGCAAGAAATAGACAGAATTGAGGCCCCTGTTGATTGTGGAGCAGACATATCATTCCAGGACACTGCTGTGAGATAAATTAGCTTCTTATTATCTAATTTACTATTATCTTGAGTTTTCTGTCAGTGACAGCCAAGGGTAATCTTAACAAGATAAGAGATCAAGGCAAGATCATGGAAAGATAGGGCATGTAGATTTTGTCAGATTTTAGTATATGAGGAAGTCATCCACGGAAGAGATAGCTAAAGACAAGACTGAATGAGTCTACCAAAGAAAAAGAGAGCTGAGGGCACATCCTCCAAATATATCTTCATTTAAGAAGTGGGACAAGCTCAGCAGAGTGATTCAGCAAGTGAGCCCAAAGTCACAAAGACCAAAAGAGAAAATTCATGAAGAAGCAGGGGATTAGTAAGTACCGAGCAATAGAAGAGAATCTAGGACAAGTGGTGAGGAACAGCTTAAAGGAAAAAAAAAATCACAGAACCAGATTACAATAAGTTTTGCATTGGAATTCGAAGTATTCTGGGTAAAATCTCTGTTCTTTAGCATACAGGGTTAAAAATAAATCTTAACAACAAACTTCTGTAAAGGCCATATTGTTAAACAATTATGAGTTAAAACCCCAAGAAATAAAAAGGATACTTGCCCTTGTATATAATATTTCCCTTTCCCCTAATTACTTTTTACCTCTTAACCTAGATGAAATCAAACAAAAACCTCTTGCCTTCAGTTGGTTAATTAGAAGCCAAATCTGATCATGAAAAGCAGATTCAGAACCATTATATAATATCAAGAAGTCCAGAAGTCATACAATTCCTTCTGAATAAACAATGCCTACGAAACTAGCCAAATTTAGCTCAATCAGTGCCACTCATGAGAATAAACCTGCTTTCTGCTTTTCCCATTTCAACCAGTCCTTCCTTTCTTATGTTCATAATTTTGCAAATATCAAAAACAGGAAAAAAATGAAAATAGCTCTAATAGATACACACTTTACTAGATTCAAGCTGACAGAATCACAGTAATGTAAAGGCCACAGAAGTTAGAAAATTATTTTCTCCTGTTAATACTGTCAGGCATGAAGAAAGAGAGTGGAGTATAGATAGTGTTTCATGACCAAAACTCTTCAACTTCTTTGACTATAGGATCTTTCTTTTCATAGACGGTTTTTTTATTCTAAACCAAAGATCATCAAGTCAACTTTGTGGCTTGTGTCCAGGATTTTTTTTAAAGAAAAGGAAGAGAAAATAGAATATATCCACTGGGTGCAGTGGCTCATGCCTGTACTGTGGGAGCCTGAGGCAGGTGGATCATGAGATCAGGAGATTGAACTATCCTGGACAACATGGTGAAACTCCATCTCTACTAAAATACAAAAAA